TTATTATTAATAGTAGCTAGAAAAGAAAATTCCATAACAAGGACTAGTGATTCGGTGGAAAGAGTATTTAGTTCAGCTTAGTCGACATTAACTCAAAGACTAACACATTTATCACCAAGTCAAATTGATAGCATTTTATTTATTTGTTCATCCGAGAAGTTTAAGGGAAAAAAGCAATGAAAAGAAAGCTTATTCCTTCTCGTTGTCCATCTATTTATATTGATTGCATTTTGAGTACTATATTTTTATTATTGTAAATAACTTTTGTATAAATAGTATGTCTATCATATGTGATATCGTACCTCATATACAGACAAATTTTTGTCGTTGTCAAAAATGCAGTGAAAAGATCGTTCTACAGAATGCCGAGCAGAGCGAGGAAAACCATTCCGTGATGTTCTTTGATCTATGGGACAAATTTTATCTATCATTCTTATTATCTAATTAACTGAAATTATAAGCAATTATATACATAAACATAGTTATTGAGAACAAAATGATCGTTTTGATCATTGGCATTTATTATATAAAAAAAAAAAGAATTATCTTCAGAGCCAATAGAACAATTTGCCTATTAAAATAAAAAAGTATTTCTTGTTTCCTCATTTTGATAAAGCCAATATTCAAATCTATCTCATTTTACTTCATAGAAGTTAAAACCAATTTTCAAAACCAAGCATTTTTTATTTCAACTTTTCAAATAAAAAAACAACAAGATTAATTGTCAAAAATAATTTAAAAGATCATGTATTTTCAGCAAACATCTTCTCGTTACTTATTATTTTTAAGATTTAAAATGAAACTATGTAGTTGTTCACCTGCTTGAATAAATGATTCATTATTCACTGGTATACTGTCAGTATTTAACATCTGAATAGTTTCAAATGATTCACATACTGCATTCAAATATTGATTTTGATTTTCATATCTTTTTCTAATATCATCTTCTGAAAAACTATTACATATAATAGGTGAAGCAAGTAATTTATTCAATGTTTGTTTAGAATCAATAAATACTTTATCAAATAAAAATCGAATAAGACGTTTTTCATATTCATCCGGATGAATAACACTAAACAACAAATATAAATTGATATTTAAAAAGAAAAGTCATAAAGTTTTACCTATATTCAGAACTTCGTTTTGGATCACGAATATTTTGTATTGCATGTTGCATACGTTTGAAATTATCAAACGTTTGTAAACAATCAATAATAGCTGGATAAAGAAGTACTCGTCGACCATCATGTGTTACACCAGGAATACCTTTAAAATTAATTATATTTAGAAATTATCGCTACATATAATAATAAAGAAAGAACAATGTCATGCATCATAGATATATGTAAGGTTAGTTGTATTCGTGTGCTGTACCCTAACAGAGAAAAATTTTCTAATCTTAATTCTATGCTACTCTGTAGAACATTTACTCTTACATTATCTTACGACTTTTTTCTTTCATCTTCTCTTAATGCTACGCTAGTTAGAAGACTCTAAAAGTGGTAAATAGAAAAATAATATCACGATACACTGAACAACAAGCAATTTTGGAATTGAAACCAATTCGAAACTTTTCTTTAGGTTTCTTACATCAATATGAAACTCTTAGAAAGACTTATCATGCATGAAGAAAATGTTTTTAAAAGTCTCGTGCATGAATACGAAATTCTTTTGAATTTCTGTATCGCACTATTTCTTCTTAATGTAGAGATGTACATGTTATGCATTTTTTTCGTATCCTGTCCTCTGATTGAGAAAAACGTTTTTAACGCTAACTCAATCCAACGTTACAAAGAGTAAAGTAACCCTGTATATCTCTGAGTCATCGCTTTTTCTGTATCTGTCTTGATAGATTTTTCAAAACTTTGATATCGATGGAAAGATCTGCAGAACGATAGACATAAGTCAATGCAAATAGATTGGCAATGAGCGAAATAATTGATAAATTGCTTTTGAGTCGAAGCTGTATGCAGTATGTACAGTCAAATGAACTACGAATATCTTGAAAAGAGTTCGTGCTCTTAGCTCATTTCTATGGCGATACTTGGATAGAAGCAAATAAAAAGGCGTTGAACTCTCGCAATAAACTATTCTCGTTAAGGTATAGGTCTATCCAAAGTTCCAAGATAGAACTCGAAGATCAGTTTTTCTGGTGTTTTGTAAGAGAGACTACGGCATTTATTTATAGCATCATTGTAGCAATAAGCTAAAAGTACAAACTCATTTCAGAATATTCGTAGCTCATTTGAGTTGACATAATGAACATAGTCTTAACTCAAAATCGATTTATCAGTTGAATAAATTTTTTTTTCGTTAGAAAAGTTTTAAACTGACGAATGCGGACAAAATAATCAGTGAACAAAATATACGAAGATGAATTGAGCAGCTAAAAAAATGTTACTTCTCGTTTGATCATAATCAAAATAAAAATTTGTATAAGAAAACAAACAGTTTTTGAAAACGACATATTAATATCTTGTTTACTTTTATATAGAGAAAGTACGTCACAACTTGTTAATGTCATATGAAATATCACAAGTTAAATATAATTTAATAAAAATAAGCGATATAACTAACCTAAAAATGAACTTGCCATTGTATTATGAGTAAAAGTATTTTCTTGTGAACAAGCGATAAGATGTAAAGGTTTCATAATAAATTTTTTAATTAATTTTGTATTTGAAACATTTGATGTTTTATTTGTCTCATCAAAATTATTAGATTCAAATGCTGTTTGCTCAATAGTTATTGCTGCAAATAATGCACTTATACCTAATTGCGGTTTTGGTTTTAATTTTGAAGTTTTTTCATTATTTTCTGTTTTTTGAATAGATTCATCTAATTGATAAACACCTAACATAAGACTAAAATCAGTAATCATAAGTTTTCTTAATTCACATATATCAGATTCAAGTGTTAATTTTAATTTTCGATAAATATCACTTGGAATACGAATACCATATGGATAAAATAATTCAAAATCAAGATCTTTTAATGCTTTTAAACGTTTTATTGGTAGATCAATACTTGAATGTCGACCAACACTTGATCCTTTAAGATCATATAGTTCATGAATATTAAGAATTGATGGTAAATTATTCAACATAATAACACAATAGATTTCAGATGAAACTATTGAACACATATTTACAGAATATAAACCAACATATCGTGTCATTAATGAAGATTTATGAGAATAATGTAAATAAAGACCAGCTAAAATTCGAATCAAAAGTTTTGCTTCATGATCACGTAATGTTTTTATAATATACGTCTAAATTTAAAATTAAATAAACAAAAAAAAATTAGACAATATTTTGAATTCATTGATTTACTTACATCATCTTGTGTTTTATACATTTGTGAACCTGATCTTCCTGTATTAACAAAGTTAATTAACTCACCACGTTCAAATGATGATTGAAAATCATTTGCTGTTATACCAATTATTGTACGTATGTATTCAAATGCAATTGGTGCATATGTTGTTATTTCTATTGGTGTTGTTGTTTCTGAAGTTTTTTCATCTGGTGAACGTAACGATTTATATTTATGTGTTCGTGCTGAACGAAATTCATTTCCAAGTATACATGATGACTGATCAACTGTATTTAATGTTTCAGCAAAATAAACTATAGATTGACGAAGAGTTTTACCAATTAAATCAGAATTACTGGTAAAAAATGTATTTTGAATAGGATTTTTTATATGTGATAAAACACCTGTAGCTGTAGCATTCCAATCTTCTAAACTTAGAATATTTAATGTATCAGTTAATTCATTCATTTTAATTAAATATTCATCTGAAAATAATTAGAATAGTCTTGAATAAGCTCAAAAAAAAAAAGCAACAAATGATGAGAAAATAAATGAAAAAAAAAAACTTTCTGTTAGGTACTAGTGAGTAGATTCATAAAGAGAAAGGATTGAATGAAGACTACGAATAATAATAAATATAGATGTATGTATTTAAGTATTGCAATAATAAAAGATGATGTAAGAAATTTACACGTAAATATTCAATAAATTTAATGTATCCACAGAAAAGTTAAATTGAAAAAGAATTTCGGCAAAACAAAAAAATAAAGATAAATAACACGAGTTATGTAGTAGAATACCAAAAAGAAATGGTAATTTGGAGATAAATGATGATAAAAAGAAAAGGAAAGACTATTTGAACTGAAGATAATAGAAGAAAGTTACATGGTATACTCTGATTATAATACCAATTTGACAAATTATACAAAACAGTAGCGCAATAGAATCAAATATAACGCTATGAGAATTTGTTCTATATGTAATTTTTGTTATTTTGTGTACGTGAGTTTACTTTATTCAATAGCACTAACTATAAAGCATATGACTTGAAGAACAACGTAGAGACAATACACAGAAAGGAAACAACATATTTATATAAACAGAAAAGAATAAACCTATACATAGAAAGGAAAATATTACTATGACTCTAAGAGAATACACCAACATGTCATGTATTTGCATATATAGGACAAATTCATGATACTATAATAAAATTATCGTGTTATAAAATAAACTGATGACAAAACCATTGAACAGAAGTTGTGGCAAATCTCAAATTGTAACTAACGTTTACTATAATCTCTAGTTGCTGATTTCTAATTTTTGACAAAAATCACATATGACAAATAACAGAAAAGCAGATACCAGAGGAAAAAAAAAGGCAAGAAATGTTATTTCGTTGATACTAGTAGTTTTTCGGTGCCATCCTCCCACAAGACAAGTGAAATCCATGGTTTGAGTTTATATTGGACTCATAGATAGATCTCAGCGAGAATAGTAAAGTCCTAAAAGGATTCATCGCTATTGGCTTATAGTATCGAGTAATGACTAGTAGTTCTAAACTTGTCAGTTGAATTCAATTGAGTTCAACTTTCAAGTATGACATGTGTGGTGAACTGATCATAACTCGACAACGAACTGTTTTAGGCTTTTACTAGTTTCATTGATGCCTGCCTTTGGGTTCAATATGAGTTAAGCTCAAACGGCATGTGTCACTATGGGTAGTTCCATCGTTAGTTATTTTTGAAATGATAGGATTCAAAATAACAGGTAATTACATTAATATTAATTCAAATTCGTATGATTTTTCCAATTTGTAAAAAATTTGAAGAATTGAAATACATAATAATAATGTTGACATTTAGATTTCGAAATTAGTATCGATTTGAGATTTGTCACTCCTGAATTGAACAAACAGATTAAAACAAGATATATTATAACAATAAATTAATTTGTATAATACATTTAACAAATTGCAGTTATTTCATTCTAAAATAATTTCATACTATTTCTCAATTGAATTCATTAGATAAACTCTTGTATTTTTAAAGGATATAGAATCGACATAAACAACTTCCATTGACTTAACATTCAACTACAACATATTCTAGAAAATGGCATGCTGACCGAGATTTTGTCTTCCAGGCACATTGAATTTAACGACATCTGCCGTGTACCAATCTTATGCTATTCGTTTAAAATTTTACCCTTAAAATCTATTGAAAAAAATATATAGAATAGACATCCATATGCTTTTAAAAAAAAATTGATTCAAATCTCTCATGAGATAAACTTTTCTTTCTTGCTTTAAACTATTTCTATTTGTTTATTTTACAAATCATTCTTTCAATGAATATAAAGAGATTCGATAGTGGTCTCTCCCATCTGAAGTTTATAATTTGCGATCGTTCTGTTTCTTATTTCTTTCAGTTTTTTTTTCTCTTTTGATGGCATATACTCGTAAACTTTTCATTGCTATAGTACCTACACAAAATGGTGTTAATCATAGAAGCAATGTAAATGTAATGTCATTACTTTTTGTATGTTACTAGTTCATGTACTACTGTATTCTTTTCACATATTACCATCACATTTCAACTTACCCTTGTAGATATATTTGTTGATTTACTTCTCGTCATCTTGTAAAAGAAACTAATAACAGGCAATATATAGGTTTTGCGATTGTGCACTGATAAATACTTTTCTCTCTTTCTTTCTTTCTCTCTTTCTGTTGTCACCTTTCAAATGAGACAGCATATAGAATGTTATTCATTTCATTGTTTATCGTGATAAAAGTAAATAATGATTGAACTGCACTATTTTATTTTAAATGTCGAGTTATATATAACAAGAAAAAATAAACTAAAATAAAAATGTAAGATGATATATTACTGTTTGTCAAATATCTTAGAACAAAACTTAAACTAGCTTTAGTTAAATGAGTAATATATTCTTTTAATTGAAAGAAATTAACGCAATAGAACATTTGTTTTTTTTTCTTTGGTTGAGTGTCTCATGATTTTTTTTTTGTTCTAGATCAATATGTTAGATGATTTACCAAGTTATGATTATTACAGTGAGTCATCATGATCATGTGTTTTTTTTCCCATAAAATAATGATGAGCGAAATTTATGATTAATATTTAAATCTAATAAAGATTAAATTCGTTTTTGTATTATAGGCTTACATCTTTTGTAATTAATTACATTAATTGTTGTAAGATTTGATTTTTGCAATTGTTGAATTTTCTAAATAATGTAACAATTATAGGATATAAAACTGAACTTTCGATTAGTTTATTAAACACTTTAATCTAAATAAGATGGATATATGAATTTGATATACCACGGCTAAACTAAATAATTACTGAAGAATGTCTTTAACATGTAACATGAATGCTTGATTTTTGAATTGACTTGAGAAAAGCTCTTGTTTACTAAAATTAAAAATTACTATATTACCTTGTTGACTGCTTCAAACTAATTTTTTTTAATATTGTCTTTGTTTAATAGTTCCATCGGAATGCTATATAACCGCATTTGAAGATTCGCGTTCAACTAATTCTACATCAAAAGCATTATCTACAATTGATGTTCTCTTACCCAATGGTCTTGTTGCTTGTATTGAACGTGAAAAAAATCAAACATTAGCTGATCTTCGTTATATATTACGCAAACGTTATGCTATAACATGGCCATTTCATTTTCTTTCCATCACACATACATTTACAAATGATACAGATGATTTACTCTTAGATGAACAACAATCATTCGATACACTTGGTCTTGTTTATCCATTTGTACGTGTTAGTGCAAAAGGTGAACTACCATCACCATTATGTAAATGGTTATCATCAATTGATCAGTCTGATATGGAATCGCTAACACAATTTATTGAACAATTAGTTGAATGGCGTGATACAACAATTCCACAAGAAATTCTTCATGCACCACCATCAATATCTCAAACAATTTTATCAAATATTGATTCATTTTTAGTTTATGTTGAACGACCAGGAAAATCTTTTAGTTGTACACAAACAACTACATGTCAAGAATTAATTGAACGTATTCTTAATGAAGAGAATAAATCAACACTAGAATATTATAATGCATCAACTGCACCAATGTTAAAATTTTCTTATCGTAATGAATTTTTATTAACATCAGAATCTTATCCATTACTTCAATATAATTATATTCAAGAATGTTTACAAAAAAATATTCAAATAAATTTACAATTAATTTATATTGAATTACCAATAAAAAGTAAAAAAATTGGACAAACTCATAAAAATAATAATAATAATACTGAACCAGATATATATCAATCAACAACAAAACGAAATATGTCAATAAATATTAATAAAGAAACTACTTTAAATAAAGAAAATGATTCTAATCAACAATTATTACCTATTCAACCATTATCATCATTATTTAGATTTACTTTTCGTCTTCGACCATCATTAAATGCTAAACAAACATTATTTCAACTTCATTCAGGAATTTATTATGGACGTCAATGTTTATTTTCGTTTGAACAAGTTACTTGGAATAATACATTTACAGAAGAAATAAGACAAAATACAACATTACCTATTGCTAATTTATTACCTGGTACTTTACTTTGTTTTGCATTAACAAATAAACAATCCGAAATATATTTTCTTAATGTTAGTTTATTTCGTTCAAATGGTTTTCTATTAAATGGTCCATATGAATTTACATTTAATTTAGTTAATTCAATACAAAATATTGCAAATACAAAACATCTTTATCCAGATGGTTTTATTGGTTCATCATATAATGAATCAACAGTAAATAAATATGAAATAAAACTTACGTTTAATTCTCAATCATATCGATTTTATGATAATGAAGAAATTTCAGAAAAATTAATTCATATTAAAATGCCAACACCAACAGCAGTAACAACAGCTAAACAACAACAAAATCATCATGAATCAAGTGATGATGTTGCTAATGGAGAAGCACTTAATTATTTACTTGGTACTCTTAATGATGAGGTAGAATTTTATTTTAAATTGTATCTGTATGATCTATGTTTATTTCTATAGACACAATATATGGTGCAAGAACCTTCTTGGTTATCTGATTGTTCATCAGCACCTACAGATGCTCTTCCTTGTGTTCTTCATTCTATTCTTGCTGATATTCATCGTTCCATACTTTCCGGTAATAATAATTGTAATACTACAACAATTTATGACAAACTATTTTCAATGTATAAATTAATTGATTTATGGCCACCAATGTCATTTGAAATGTGTTTTTTTCTTCTTGATTGCACATTACCAGATGCTCATATACGTTCATATGCTGTTTCACAATTAGCACGTTTATCTAATCATTTATTTCTTTTTTATATACCACAAATAATTCAAGCTGCAATTCAATTTGAACATTATATTGATACACCATTAATACGTCTTATACTTAAACGA